GACTCATATCACGCATGATATTGTCCACCCAAACAGAGTTCCACCACAGGTAAATACACCTGTCAGAATGGCTAAATCCAGTTCCAGAAAGCACGCGGAGCCTTGGAAGGAAGGTGATGCCTTTGACTACAAAAATGGCCCCCACAGGCACACCACCTTGGAATGAAGTCAGCAAATGGAAACTCGGATCAGGACAGTGAAAGCCGTCTGAAAGTTACCACTGAGGCAGATGAAGTATCTTCAGCGCCTCAGACTTCTGGCTCACCTGCAGGTAAACGCTCTGGACAGGGCGGGTCAATGGCCACCCTCACCCACCTGCTTCTTCCCCTCGTTTCTCAACCGCAAGCGGAAAGAAAGCCTCGGGTTCCATAGTTGCAAAGGTCGAACAGGGAGTTCGGACGCAGGCACTCCACTAAAAGGTGTGTGATAGATGGGTGAGACCAGAGCAGGAAAGGGAAAAAAAAATCTGGGAGACTTCAAGATAAAGATGGCTTCTTTGTCATGACCAGGGCATAGCCAACTAATGCTATTGGCTGGCAGCGGGTATTTAGGGCCGTCCCTGAGAGATGGAGTGGCCTACAGATTCCGAATCAACATGAAACAACTGTGAGCTGGTCTCTGGGTTTTAAGAAGGTTCTTTCGTCCAGAAGTTCACAATTTAGAACTAACTCCATGAGACTCAAAGAACTTCCCTAAGGCACATTTAATGAAGGTTCTCAAAGTGATGTTTAAGATTTTTTTTTTTACCCATATCTAGTGGCACTTTTATTAGAAAATGTCATAAAGGAAAGACATTCAGTTGCTTATATGCAAAATTATACAATTATTATTATTATTATTGAAAAAAATGTATCATTAGTAAAACTTAAATGGCACTTAATATACAAAATAGTGTTTCTCAAAACCACTGCCTCACTGTTGGGCATTTAAATAAGAACTCCATTACTGTCTGCATGTCTGAGTCTGCCTGAACAGTAGAAAAGTTAGACCGATTTTTTTTTTATTTTATTTTTTTTAAGTTTTAAAGCAAGATTATAACCCATTAAAACAATGAGCTGACCTCGGGCCCCTGCACCGCTGGGACTACCTTTGTGGTATTTGAACTTGTGGAAGTGGAGGGAAGTGGCCGTTCCCATTGTCCCTGGGTCAGAAGGTGGCTTCCCCTGGGTGCTCCATGGGTAGACCTCACAGGCTCAGCCAGTGATTTCAAAGCCAAGGTTCAAAATGGAACGCGCTAATGCATGTTCTTAAAAAGATACTGTCTATTACTACAGTGCTTCCAAGAGTTTCATGTCCTGGTAAAAACCCCTTAATCGAGGGCAGTGACTCTCACCCTTCCTAACTGTGATCCTTTGAGACAGTTCCTCATGGTGTGGTGACCCCCAATCACAGAGTTATTTTGTTGCTACTTCCTAACTGTCATTTTGCTACTGTTAGGAATCATAATGTAAATATCTGATATGCAAGATACCTGATGTCCACCCACAGGTTGAGAACTGCTCAATGACCCAGTGGCTACATTTTACCCCCACAACAAAAAACTCTTCAAGGATGCAGAAAATCTGATTAACCAAGTTCCAGAATAGAAGATCTTCCGTAGTGGCATCTCCAAGACTACAGGGATTGCTTCTAGCTAGTTCTCTAATTCAGTCACACGCAGACTATCTCTTCTTAATAAAAGTAAATAACAAAAATAGACCGTTGTCTACCATCCAAAATGGTGGGTCGTCAACATTACAGCTAAAACATTACAGCCCTTTCTCCGACCTCCCCATCACCAGGTGATGGCCTCCATTCCTGGAAATCTTGGAACCAGACATTTTTTTCTTCCACTGAAATGTATATGCATGTGTATGTGACTGTATATGTATGTACATGTATCTCTAGTCTTCTGTTTTTTATTATATGAGACATGGTTTCACTAAGTTGCCCAGCCTGGCCTTGAACTCACTACCTCAAATAGGCTATATAACTTGCAATTCTCTTATTTTAGCTTTCTGAGTAGCTGAAATCCTCCTGCCTCAGCCTCCCAAATGGCTGAGATTACAGGCCTGTGCCACTAGGTATAACTTAAAACTTTTTTTAAGAGACAGAATCAAAGGACTAGGTTCAACAGCATTCTTCTATTTCCATTATTTGAATAATCTTAGTTCCTTCTTCCTGCCTTGTTTCAGCCATGTTTTATCACTTAGGATGCATTCATGAAAAGTCAGAAAGAAAATTTTTTTTATCATATGTATATATATATATATATATTATAATAATTATACAAATTAAGAAGAAAAATGATAGAGTTTTGAGTAATGATTCGATACATTATTATACCTGGCAAAAGTAGGTGCGAGGAGAGAGAGCAATGTTAGTGACATTGTTAATGACATCTCCTGGGTCAGATGGATGCATCGGAATTTGAAACAGTAGAGAGTGAGTTTGGTGTCATGGGCCCGGAGGTGGACCCTCTGGGTTCAGATACAGGCTGCATTAACATGGGCAAGTTGCTCAACCATTTCACACCTGTGTTCTCATCTACAAAGTAGAAATGACAAGACTGTCATGATACTGAGATGGCTTAATAGGAACGTGAAAATATTAAGGAATATCCAGCACTAATTATATTAACATTCTTAGTACTATAACACGGTTTAGAAGAACGAGGTTTCTCGGGAGGCGGAGGAAAGGAGATCAGGAAACCTAGGTAGTCTGGGATATGTAGTGAGAACTTCTTTCAAGGCGAGGGCAGCCAGGATAACGGAATTCTACCCACATTGAGTTGGAATGGTTTCCCTGACGGTTGTTTTGTGAAAATGCCACAGAATAACACCAACTAGGATTAAGAATACAGACTTGTTGAGAGGTACATGCAAACACATTTGGAAAAGCACACATCCCCAGCACTGAGTTGTTGGGGTCATGGGGTCAGGGTTGGGAGGAGAAGTCTCTTTCCTGAAGATCTCTATGTGAATCAACATGGATGCAGTGGTACGTTTGTAGGTAGTTATACACGTTGAAGCTTTTATAGTGGTTTTTTTTTTTTTTCAGTTTTGGAGTTGAACATCCCTCATGTTCTAGCCCAGAATAAGACAGACCTCTCAGAGATGAGGAAACAGGCTTAGTGGGGAGAGGGGTATTGGGAGGGGGGTGTTGGGAAGGGAGGATAGATCTAGCTTCCTGTCCCTACTTTTCACTGAAAATTTCTTTCTTTTCCCTTTGTTCACACTTTTAAGAGGTTTCTCCTTCATTGTGTCCTGGTAGTTCCCACTGTCGGCAGGTCTATATCACACCCCTCCGCCCCCACCCCCCATCTCTCATCATCTCACCATTTCCCAGTGCATCTCCCAGATCCTCAGGTAGCCATGCTCCATGGAATCACCGGCCCCAAACCTCCACCACTCAGGAGCGTGGCAGGCCCACAAGCGCCTCCACGGTTACAGTTATGGGACTGTACCTCTCCAATTGCTTTTGACCTTGCAAAGGGTCCAAATGGGCTTTTAAACTTATTTTCCATGCAAAGAACTGCTGGCATGAGTTAGCAGGCGCTTCTCCCCGCCTTTAGGTTCCCCACACAGGCTTCCTCTTGGAGGTTAAGGGGCTGTTTTGTTCCTCCCGGCTCCTTCTCCTTCACGCTTGCCTGCCGTTTATGTCCTACACCCACCTACCCACCCCACACACCCAATCCTCGCGCTCCTCTCTTTACACGCCGCCAGTCATCATCCATCCCCATTCGTACACAAGCGCGTGGAGTCACGATCACAGGGATGACGCGGGAGGAAAAAGAAGTCAAGACTCAAAGCAGATTGCCTCGCAAGCCACCTACTTCCTGCACCGGAACCCGGCTCGTAGGGAACTACGCCGGCTGTTGGGGGGCGGGGGGCACGGGGGGATCCGGGCCACCAGAACCGGGTCAGCACCGAGGTGCCCAGGCATAGGGGAAATTGATTGGTTCTCGGATGGACCAATCAGGAAGAGAAGTCGTGCATCGGTTTGGGGATGTCCAAGATTACAGAGGGGGTGTAGAGGAAAGAGGACACAGGTATGCCGAACACCAGGGCTCGGAGTGCTTTTAGACTCGGGATTCTGGGCTAAATCCCCCCTCCCTTCCTAGTCTGCCGGTTCCACAACGCTAAATAGTAAATAATAGGTCGGGGAAAACATGACTTATCCCACCATTCACATGGTTATTAACAGTCTATGGAGAAGTGGCCCTAGAGTAGGCAAAGGCAATGAAAACCTCTCCTCCCTGTTCCATGCCCGGCCTTGAGCCTAACTCCGTCGTTTTTTAAAATAGCAAATCACTCCGGGGCTCTCGCTTAATCGCCGAAGCTGATTACTAAAATGCCGTATTAGACGCCTGGAGTAAGTTTCTACCTCCCCCTCCACCCCCCTCCAGGACCGTGGGGAATGGTAGCGGCATTTACTGGGTCGAGCCGCGTTCACTACCTGCTCTAAAGCCCAAGGAGCTCGGAGAAGAAAAAAAAAAAGACCTTTCCGAACGTACAGTCACGCGCACCAAGCCGGCCGCCCGCCTCGGGGAACCCATCCTGCGAGCCCCGACCTCACCAAACTCTTCGTGCAGGGGGCGGGCGGGGGGGGGCACCAAGATTTTTCTTTTCTTTTTTTTTTTTTTAAAAAAGGGTGGACACAGATACCAGGTCTTCCTACTACGTTGCAACTTCAGCAGAGCTTTTTTTTTTGCCCACTTTTCCCCCTCCAAAGTGTCACAGACCCCCTTATTATAAGACCAGTCCAACCTCAGCGTTCCCACGGTCCTGTGCCGCTAACCATCCACTGTGCCACCCCACCGCCCGGCCCCGAGAGCTCATACCCAGGGGTTTAGGGGGGGAGAGGGGGAAGGGAGCTAGTCAGTGGAAGTAAAGAGGTTTTCGCCCAGGCCTGGAGGCCAGAGCCGGCGGAGAGCCCTAGAGCTCAGAAGCTGGGAGAGGAAGGGGGCTGGAGCGGCGCGGGGAAGGGCCGCGAGGAAAGCGGGGCGCGGGTGCACTCACTCTGCGTAGCCGGTGGCCCAGGGCAGCCTCCGGGTCTCCTTGAGGATGAGGATGGGGCGGGCGATGTGGTCCGCGCTGCACTCCACCTCATCCTGAGACAGCCCGAGGAACTCCGGCCGGCCGTAGGGGAAGCGCAGGGGCAGGTCCGAGCCTCCGTAGCCGCTACCGCCGTGCTCGGAGCCGGAGCTGCCAGCCATGATGCCGCCCATGAAATTGGCCACGGCAGATTTCACCCGAGTGAGCATATTACTCCGGCGCCGGGCAGCCGCTGGGCGAGCAGGAGGCGGCGGCGGCGGCCGGCCGAGGCGCAGCGCGGGGCATGCAGGCTGCGGAGGGCGCGGGGCGCACGGGTAGCCGGGCCGCTTGGAGCGCGCGGCTCCCGGAGCTCAGTGCTGCAGGGGGCCGAGCCGCGGCTTCCCGTGCTCCTCGCTGCCGCCACCACCTCTCCCGGCGACACTTCCGCAACCGGGCGACATGGAGCGGGCGGGCGGCTAGGGAGGGACAAGCGAGAGCCCCCCGGGAGCGGCTGGCGGGCGGCGGCGGCGGCGGCGGGTCCCTTCCCCGCCCCCTTGCGCCCCGCTCCTCCTGCGTGCGCGGAACTGAGCCCACCCGGCGAGCCCGCGCCGACCAGCCGCTCCTGCTGCCACCGCTACCGCCGCCGTCGAGTCATGTGATAATCAGGCTGCACGGGCTCGGGCTGCGCCTCTGGCCCAGGCTCAGCCCCTCCCCTGTCGGCCGAGCCCGGGCTAGCTCCCGGACCGTGACCTCCGGAGGCAGCCGGAGCCTGGCCTGGTCGGTACCTGGCGAGGAGGATGGGGGCGCTGTGCGCTGGTGGCTGCACAGGTGTTAGGGGCTGTCACATGGCTTCAGGCAGCAGGGAGACGCCAGAGGAGGGGTGGGCGCTAGGAGGAACACTGCCTTTGACCTCCGGAAAAGAAACTTCTCTCGGAGACAGGTGCAATGGAAGTGGGAGACCTCCCAGTCCCGCGACCGAAAGGAGCAGATCTCTCCTGGTGTGGGAGTCTTAGCTACACAATGAGTACACAAGAATCGTTGGAAGTTTCCCCCTAGGCAGCTAGAGAATCACTTTCTTTTTTTTTTTTCTTTGATTGCCTTTCCACGCGTCCCTGTCCGTGTGACACAAACCTTGTTTTGAATCTAGAATTTTATTACTACAGACAACAACAAAAGATCCCCCAAGAAATCAAGAGCATGCACTGTTTTAACTAACACGAATGGCTTAACCAATTTATTCACACCAGCTTTTTCCTCCAATACAGCGACCGGTGTATCTTCACTATTGCAGTATTTTAACTGCACAGAATTAAGGGCACGTGGGAAAGTAAAGAAAAACAGAACACAGCCACTGAACTAAGTGCTAAACTTAAAAACGAACCGATGCTTATCATAAAATATATTTTGGCGATCTTACGTTAATTTAAATGTCTTTAGAATAATACATGCGCTTCTTCAAGAGTAACATTTGTTAAATACTGGTTCTGCTTAATTTTTTTTTTTTAATTTTTGCAATAGGACCGATATCCTGTTCATGCTAAACTGTTCCAATGTTTACCTTCCATTTAAGAATGTATAACCTGTGTAGCTATGCTCTGAGCAGCTCCCTTGGAATTACAGGGAATCCAGGCTTTATCATTAGTGAGAGAGGGGTGTGGCCCAGGTGTTGGAGAGGGGGTGACCCGGGTGGTGGAGAGGGAGGTGGCCCGGGTGGTGGAGAGAAGGTGACCCAGGTGGTGGAGAGGGAGGTGCTCCAGGTGTTGGAGAGAAGGTGACCCAGGTGGTGGAGAGGGAGGTGCTCCAGGTGTTGGAGAGAAGGTGACCCAGGTGGTGGAGAGGGGGATGGGACAGGTGTTGGAGAGGGGGATGGGACAGGTGTTGGAGAGGGGATGCCCAAAGTGGGGGAGAGGGGGTGGGCCAGGTGGTGGAGAGGGGGGTGGGACAGATGGTGGAGAGGTGGGTAGCCCAGGTGCTGGAGAGGCGGGTGGCCCAAATGCTGAAGTGGGGGGAGGTTGCCCAGGTGCTTGAGGGTAACCTAGGTGCTGGAGTGGGGTGGCCCAAACACTGGAGAGGAGTGGCCCAGGTGCTGGAAGAGGAGCCTATCACTCCCCAAGGAGGAACCCTGCTTTTTTTTTTCTTTCTTTTTATTAAGAGATTTTCTATTCGTTTTATATATCAACCACGGATTCTCCTGTCCTCCTTCCTCCCCCCCCCCCCCCCTCCCCCCCCCCCCCCCCCCCCCCACCTCCACCAAGGCAAGGTCTCCCCTGGGGAGTCAGCCCAGCCTGGTACATTCAATTGTGGCAGGTTCAGTCCCCTCCTACACCAAGGCTGAGCAAAGTGTCTCAGCATAGGCACTAGGTTCCAAAAAGCCAGCTCATGCACCAAGGACAGGTCCCTGGCTCCACTGCCTGGGGGCCTCCTAAACAGTTCAAGCTCATCAACTGTCTCACTTAGTCCAGTTCCATGGGGGCTCCTCAGGTATTGGTCCACAGTTCATGTGTTTCCATTAGTTTGGCTAGTTGTCTCTCTACTTTTCCCAATCATGGTCTCGGTATCTCTTCCTCATATAATCCCTCTTCTCTCTCATCGATTGGGCTCCTGGAGCTCCACCTGGGGCTTGGCCATGGATCTCTGCATCTGCTTCCAACAGTTACTGGATGAGGGTTCTATCATAACAGTTAGAGTGTTCGGCCATCGGATCACCAGAGTAGGTCAGCTCAGGCACCCTCTCGACCATTGCCAGGAGGAACCCTGCTTCTTAAGCCTAGCTAAGTCCCAATGGTTCCTTTTTTCAGTATCTAGAATTATTTTTAAAGGTATTTCCTCCTTTTGGCCATTTCACTTTAGATAATTTGGGCAATATTTCAAATGTTTAGTGAAACTCCACTACTGTTGATCCATTATTTTAATATTTTTTCCTTCCTTCCTTCCTTCCTTCCTTCCTTCCTTCTTTCTTTCTTTCTTGTTTTTATTTTTTTCATCCCTCTAATTTTAAAAAATGTGGGTTGGGAAACTCGATCAATGACTCAGCCATTGATCTTCCAGAGGATGGTGCTTCAATTCCTAACACCCATATCATGCCTTACAATGGTCTGTATCTCCAGTTTCAGGGGATCCAAATCTCTCTTTCTGGCCTTCTCAGGCAATGCACCAACATGGTACACCAACATACATATGACCCAAACACCCATCCACATAAAATAAAATTGAACCCAAAACAAAACAAATTTAATGGGTCAGAATTTTAAATGATGCCAATTCAATTTCTTAAATTTTGCATGTGAACTTCTGAATGGTGACTCTCTCACTGTGAGTGTTTTGTCTAAACATTCCTTAATACAGGCTCTGAAACCCTCTGGGTCTAAGAGGAACTTAGACTCCTCCTTTCAAGTGTTTCTTGTAGTAAATACAGTTACCTTTTAATATAGTCTAACAGATACGGGTTTCTCCTCATTTCACTTTACGGTGCAGCTTTAGTATGCACATGAAATTGGATTTCAATAAGAATTTCCTGTGTGATTTATTTTCAATTGCAAAGTAGCACCTGGCCGTGGTATATGATAAATAAATAAAATCCAGTGGTCCAGAACCATCATGAAAAAGTAGAAGATTCCTTCATCATCAGGGGTAAAACCACTTTTCATATTTCCCATCGGCTGCCAATCTTTTCCTGAAATAGCACACTTAGCACAATTATAATCAGAAACATGAGCAGGATTAGTGAATTGACCCTTTAAGAGGTTATTCTGTTCCCTGTGTGACCTAATTGTCGTGCCTGTCATAGCACAGGGTCACCGTTATCGTGGTCCAGCATTCTTCCCTAGAACTTTGCCCTGCCAACAAACAGAACTCCCCCATTTTCTTGCCTTGGAATGGATTTCTAGCAAGAGACGGAAGCGAGTTTTGCCTTTGTAATTTAAGCGGGGGTTATTACTGTTATAGGTGCCCCTAAAAAATAAATGCCTTTCTCACTTACTAATATGTTACTCCTGGGAGGATCTGAGCAACCAAATTCCAATTATACAGGGATCAAGAAGCAAGAGACCCTCCATTTGTTTGTTACACATCGTACATACGCTCTACACATCTGTGGTGGTTTGAAAGAAAATGGGCCCCAAGGGGAGTGGCACTTTTGGGAGGTGTGGCCTTGTTGAAGTGGGTGTGGCTTTGTTGGAGTGGGTGTGGCTTTATTGGAGGAAGTGTGTCACTGTGGGGGTGGGCTTTAAGGTCCCATATATGCTCAAGGTACTGCTAGTGTCTCAGACCACTTCCTGTTTCCTGTGAGTTAAGATGTAAGAACCGTCAGCTCTTGTCCAGCACCGTGTCTGCCTGCATGCTGTCTTGCTCCCAGCCCTGACGATAGTGGACCAAACCTCGGAACCGTAAGTGAGCAACCACAATTAAATGTTTTCCTTTATAAGAGTTGCCATGGACATGGTGTCTCTTCACAGCCACTCCAACTAAGACAGCATCTGCCTCTTGTGTTTGAAGATTATTCATTTGGGAGAGACTATGTTTGGATGCTTTTCATGTAATCTCATTGCTCTATAATACTATAATAACTAGGTTGATTAAATGACTTCATGTTTATTATTAAGAATTGTTGTTTATAAGGAAAGAAAGACAAGCCCTGATAGCTTTTTTCCGCCTTAAAATAACAGGAGTTCTCTTAAAATATTTACTAATGACAAAATGAAAAAGAACTTGCTTTGTAAAAACCTGGCAGACATCACTGTAAATAAATGATCTCGGTTAATGCCCTCAATTTAAAATGCACTCGCATCCTGCACACTTGCAGGATGAGCTGCAAAAGGCACACCTCCCCTGCATATCCCTCGTCTCCTTAGCCCAGGCTACTCATGAGAAAAACCTGGGCCAGACACAACACTGAGCATGTTTTACAAAATACCTTGCTAGGTCGCTTCGAATGTCAAGGTCCTGAAAGAGAATGAAACAACCACAGCATCCTTCGGAGCTTAGAGACATGAAGTACGGTACCAGTGTGAACACTCTAGTTTTGACAGTCACTTGAGGGGACACGGCGTGAAGGAGAAACAGAACATTTCGCTATGGAGAGACAAAGAGGAAAACTGGAAAGATCAAATGCGGAAGGGAATGGATGGAAGAGAAGGGTCGAGGAGGGAATATAGACTAATACTAGAGGCCATTTGAAAAATCGTATGGAAACCTACTATTATAGGAGCTTCTTAAAATATAGACACACACAAAAGCAATGTCAATGAAATAATAAGGCAGACAGTACACTAATTAAATACTTTATACCACCAAGTAAAATCCCCAGTGCCAGGAACGGGTTAGATCTTGTTGTGTTGTTGGCTAAAGGGGCCCTTGATACCCCCAAATGTCTCGGGCTATTACCAAGATCATTGATTGTTCTCCACAGCCTGCTGGTAAAATCATACGGCTGAAGACAATACTCACGTATGTCCTTGAACCTGGAGCTGTTGAGCCGGTGCCTAAGTGAAAGCTTCACCCTTAAAAACTAGAGCTCATGGTCCTGAAAGTTACTCAGCACACTACAGGAGGAGAAAGGCGATCATCAACACCTCCTAGCTACAAACGTGTGACCTAAAACAGTGAACTGCCATCGGGCAATTGTGATACCAATGTTATGGGAACAATTCATCATTTTCTGATTGGATGAAGGCTCCATGAGATGAAGCCCATGCCTGACACCAATAAAGTGGCTCAGAACCTAAGACTAGAGAGGTCATGGTTCTAGGGAAAAATCTAATAATGTCATGCTGAAGGAATAAAGCAATAAAA